TATTATAAAAAAGACAGAGAATAACAAATGCTGGTGAGGATGTGGAGAAAGAGGAATCCTTTTTCACTGTTGGTGGAACTGTATATTAGTACAGCCATTATGGAGAACAGTATAGAAGTTCCTCAAACAACAACAGATAGAACTACCATATGATGCAGTAATCCCACTACTGGGAATTTATCCAGAGGACTGGAAATCATCAGGTCGAAAGTATACCTGCACCCCCATGTTTATTTATTGCAGCTTTATTTACAATAGCCAGACAATGGAACCAATCTAAATGTCCATAGATGGACAACTGGATAAGGAAACTGTGGTATAGACACATGATGGAATACTGCTCACCCATAAAAACGGATGAAATTCTGTCATTTGCAGCAATGTGGATGAGCCTGGAGAAAATTATTCTAAGTGAAACGAGCCAGGTATAGAAAGAGAAATATCACATGTTCTCACTCATAACTGGCAGCTGAATCCATAAAAAAACACATGAACAATAGAGACAGAAAGAAAGAAAGAACAATCACAGTAATACATTGAATTTTAGAAAACTAGAGGTGGCAAAGGGGAGGGGAAGTGGGGTAATGAGGATTGGTCAATGGACACAAAGAATGATTGCGTATTGTAATAATGAATAAGCTGACTATACTGATCTAACCATCACACATTCTACACAATTATTGAAAATCAACATTGGGGCCGACCCCATGGCTCACTTGGGAGAGTGCGGTGCTGAGAGTGCAGCGATGCTCCCGCCGCAGGTTCGGATCCTATATAGGAATGGCCGGTGTGCTCACTGGCTGAGCGCGGTGCGGGCGACACCAAGCCAAGGGTTGCAATCCCCTTACCGGTCACAAAAAAGGACAAAAAAAAAAAATGTTGACATATCTTCAGGCCTGGGAACATGGTGCTCTTTTCAAGGCTGGGAGCCTTTACATAGATGCTGAACTGACCCAAGACACACCCCACTCCCCTCTATATGGAAGGAATGACAATCAGTTTCAAAGAAAGTGAGAGAAGTCAAATATCCTCCTTGTAAATTAGTACAGCCATTATGGAGAACAATACGGAGGTTCCCTAAACAACTACAGGTAGAACTTCCATATGACCCAGCAATCCCACTACTGAGGATATATCCAGAGGATTGGAAAACACCAGGTCAAAGAGATACCTGCTCTCCCATGTTTATTGCAGCTCTATTTACAATAACCAGGTGATGGAACCAACCTAAATGTCCATCAATGAATGACTGGATAAGGAAATTTTGGTATATACACACAATGGAATACCTGCTCAGCCATAAAAAAGAATGAAATTCTACCATTTGCAACAACATGGATGAGCCTGGAGAAAATTATTCTAAGTATAACAACCCAGGTTCAGAAAGAGAAATACAACATGTTCTCACTCATAACTGGGAGCTGAATCCATGAATAAACAAATGAACAATAAAGAGAGACAGAGAGAAAGAAAGAAACAATAATCACAGTAATACATTGAACTTT